TGCTCAATCCCAAGTAGGGGGCATGCAGGAGGCAGCCGATCAATGAGTCTCATCATTGATGTTTCTATCTCTCTCTCCCTCTCCCTGCCAATAAAAAATATATTTAAAAATAATTTGTCCCCTACAAATAGAGAATACCCATTATTTTTATTAGTAGATACATTGGGATAGAATAGGATAGAATAAGATAATTCTGAACTCAAAACTAGAAAACAAAAATATAGTCCTCTGCAAAATCTGTCTTCTCACAATTTCTAAACCCCTATTATTAATTTATATAAAATGAAATTAACCAGTGTTAAGTGTGTAAGTTTTGTCACATGTGTAGTCACGTAACCAGAACTGTAACCACGACATAGAATGTATCTATCACCGCCAAAGGTTTCCTAATGCTCTGTAACAGTCAATCTCCTCTGCCCAGTCCTGGTTCCTAGCACCCACTGATCACTTTCTGGCACTGAAAATTTGCTTTTCCTAGAATTTCATACAATATGTTGTCTTTTGTATGTGACTTCTTTCACTGAGTCCAATACTTTTGATATATTTTTCACGTTTTTTCTTATATTGGCAGTTTGTTTCATTTGGTTGCTGAGTAGTATTCTATTGTAGGGATATGCCACATTTTGTTTATCCATTCATCATTGAATGCTACATTTGGGTTTCTTTTCACTTTGGGCTCAGAAAAATTGCTTACCAGTATTTGGATGGATGTGTGATTTTATTTCACTTGGGTGAATAACTAGGTATGGGATTTATGGGTCATTTAGCAAGTGTATGTGTAACTTTAAGGGAAATTGCCAAACTATTTTTCCAAATAGTTGGCATGTTGCCTTTTCAGGAGCAAGCATATCAGAGGATCAATCGCTTGACATCTTGAGTAACAGTCTTTCATGTTAACTAGTCTAGTGTGTGTGTAGTGGTTTCTCACTGAGGTTTAGTGTAATTTGGATAAAGTGTCTGTTCCGATCTTTTGCCCATATTTTTGTCAGGTTGTTTCTCTGAGTTGTAGGAGTTCTTTATATAGTCCGGATAGAAGTCCTTTATTAGCTATATTGTTTGCAAGTATGATCCTTCAACCTAACATAAAGTTATATTATGCTACTTGTACTATATATAGTGCAAGAACCTTACAACAGTTCTGGTTTCCTATCTTCCCAGGGAATAACCCCAATAGAATGAGAATTTCTCAATATTGACTTTCCAGTATCAGAGAGGACTCTACATGGCCTTGCTTGGGTTACATAACTCATACCTGAACAGACGACAGTGGACAGTGACATGAACATTTTGGTACACCTGAATTCCTGCAGCAGCCCTCCTACAACTTCACCAAATTGAGAAAGAGCTCACCAGAAGAATCCAGCAAGAGGAATGCAAGAGTATCCTAGTTAGACAAACACTAGAGCAGTCATAGGCCATTACAGGCAAACATATCACAGAAAGAGTTTACAGACTGGCAGGTAGAGAATTCACGCACACTTGCTATAAATTCCCAGTATACTAGTATCTTGCCAACAACACTGACCTTGGCCACACAAAGCAAGAGCACACGAAGCATTTCTCAGTATGACATTTTCCTTCCCCTTGTACCCCCCAGGGCACTCAGCTACCAGCGACACTTCTGCTATTTGGTTCCTGTCAAGCTAAAAAGAAGCCAAATACCCCACCACCCTTTTATGTGTGACTTTTATCAGCATTCTGAAAAAGAATTTTACGAACAATATAAGCACTTCTGCATAATGCAGTTTCTCAGCCTTGAGACCAGAGCATTCCTTATAGAGAAGGGCTGCCCTGTACATTATAGAATGTTTAGCAGCATCCCTGAATTCTACCCACTAGATGTCAGTAAGACACCCACCTCCCCAGTTTTGACAATTAAAATTTTCTCCGGGTAGTAGAAAATGTCTCCTGGTTGAGAAGCACTAGTTTAAGGGAATGTTTACAAATATCAGGATCTATAGGTTCTTTTTTTTTTCTTTTTATTGAATTTATTGGGGTGACACTGGTTAACAAAATTACAAAGGTTTCCGGTGCACACTTTTACAACACATCAAGAAAAAACTACAGGGTCTGAGCTCAAGTTAGCATCAGCTGATGGGGAGAAAGCAGAGTTAGCATTAGGTGCCATCAACTCCTGCTCCATATCCCAGCAAACCCATCTCTCATCAAGGGACCATGTCTGCTTTTCAATGCTGCAAATACAGCTCGCAGCACCTGGCAAAAAGCAGTGCTGGACAACCACAACTGCAGCAAATGTTAAAAGAATAAGTGAGCGGCCCTGGCCAGTTAGAGTGTCAGCTCACAGACCAAAGGGTCGAGGGTTCGATTCCCAGCCAAGCGCACGTATCTTGATTGCAGGTTTGATCCCTAGCCCTAGTTGGGGTGTATGCAGGAGGTAGTCAATCGATGTGTGTGTCTCTCTCCCCTTCTCTTCCTCCCTTCTACTCTCTTGAAAAAGAAGGAAAGAAAGAAAAATATGGATGATTATTCACAGTGTTTCTCTGGGGAAAGGAGTGACATAGGTGGTATATACATCAAAGAGGATGTTTTACTTTAAAACTTCTATATTTGAACTTTATCCTTTTCACTCTCATAAAAAAATTTTAATGATTATTTTAAAGCGTTTGGAAATCAAAGCAAGCATTTTCTCTTTGATAACTATTTCTTTCATTTGCAGGGTTGTTTTGTTTGTTTGCTTGTTAAGTACATATGTGGACACCAGCCCTAGTTCACATTCTGAAGTAACATCAAGTCCAAAGCTATGATTTTTTTTTTCTTTTAATTCATGAGCAGACAGTCATGTAATATAAATATTTGTGAATGCGGTTTATGTTGGGAAAAAATGCACTTGGCACAATAGTAGCCTGACACGTCACATTCAATTTTGTGCACTGGCCTGGAGAGTGTCACGTCTCGAACCCTACAGAGCGAGTGCAGTGTGGGCCTTGGGAATCATGCTGAAAAGACGGATGGTGATGAAGCTTCATGGGGTGATTTTGGTCACCCCTGTTTTACTCTGTCCAACCAAGATGTTCTGGCCAGATGAGAGGAGAGAAGGGGTGAGCTGGGTGCCGGGAAGCCCTCTGAGGGAGAACAGGTGTCTGGGTCTTTCTACTTGAGGCAGACAGAGGGCCAAGGAGCAGGCCAGGAAGTGAGGAAGGAAAAAGATAATTTGTGGCGACAGCTGTTGCTTCTCTTTCTCCTGTGGCACAGCAGGACGCTGGGTCAGATCCTCTATCTGTGGTCAGATGCTCCTCCTGCAGATCACCCACACCTGCCCCTTGACCTGCCCCCCCTCCCATCCTGTGTAATCCTCGTCTCCTCCCCTCACCTCCAGCCCAGAGGGCAAGGCCCAGCCATCTGGGTCTCTTGAGGTCAGGGTTCCAGGAACCAGGGGCGCCTGGCTTGCAAGGTGAGGTCATTTGTTTACTCGAGGCAGGCAATGCAGGGAGATACAAAGCAATCCATCTGCCTTAGCCACCAAATAGATTCCCTCCACCTTCCTCCAGCAGAAGCGGTCAGGCAGGGAGGCCGGGCTGGCCACGGTGACCTTTCAGAGCTGAATCTATGCTTCTAAAAATAGCAGCATCCTTGGAGAATGGAGAGGGGGAGGGGAGGCTGTGGACGTTGAGCAGGAACTGGACTCCCCAGAGCATTGTCGGAATGAAACTGTATTAATCAGACACACGCACCCAGCTCAGTAACCTCAGGTGTCACCAATTGAAACTAAATGAACTGGCTTCATTCTTCTCCTTTCTGGTTACCCTCTCCCTGGGCTAAGACGGAGAAAGAGAAGCTTGTCTCCTGCCTTATTTGAATGGCTGTGTATTGCCGAGGAGATGTCTTCCCCAGCAGAGGGGAAAGGGGGCTCCTGAGAGGCACAGGAGAGGGCCTGCACCGCCGCGAAGTGGGAGACCCCAGGTGGCGGTAGGGACCTGGGGGCCTGGGTCCCAGCCATCTCTCCCTGCACGGAGACCGCCCGGGGCTCTGTCTGAAGCTGGTGTGTCCAGGGCTGTGATGTGTGGGGTTGCTGGGTGCCCCTCTCAGGCTTTTGCGGGATCCTTCTCCAGAGCCACGTGGGGACTAGATGTTTCCAAGGTCCAGTGGAGCCGTGTGCTGGTCTCACAGGTTGTGTGAGACCAGGTTGCGTGCAGTGCTCTGGTGGGTGGAGGTGCGTGTGTGTTTGTTTCAGGGTATGGGGTGTTTGCAGGAGTTTATGGGGGTATTGTGGCAAACTGTTTGGGGCAGGGGCTGTGAAGAGGCCTGTGTGGGTCAAGGTTGCATACAGACGGTGGGCCTATGTGGTGCCCGTGGGAAGAACTTGGGGGAGGCCATGTGGAAAACGAGGTAGGGGAGCCTCTGAGGGGCCTGTGGGGACCAGTTTGAGGCCGCATGGGGCTGTGTGAGGCTGGGTGGGGCTGTGTGCAGAGCGCATCTGTGTGAGGGCTGTGATGGGGGCTGCGCAGTAAGGCGGCTCCTCTTTGTGTAGCGTCATTTGTTGGCTCTGTGTGGATTGTGATGGGGATCTGAATGAACCCACACAGGGGACTCTGTGGGGAATAGTTAAGGCTCTGGGGGCTTCAGCTCTGGGGGCTACTTTCATGGTCACCAGTATGAGGCCGTGCAGGGCTGCACGAGGGTGGCAGAGGCCCTGGGTGGCCTCCCAGCTTTGCCATCTAAAAGGGAATAGTTAAGGCTCTGGGGGCTACTTTCAGGGTCACCAGTATGAGGCCGTGCAGGGCGGCACGAGGGTATCAGAGGCCCTGGGTGGCCTCCCAGCTTTGCCATCTAAAGGTGGGCTGGGCTTCCTTAGGGCAAGGGGCTCCCGAGTGCAGGTGTTTACTCTTCTCCATGTGATTGGCGTGGAGCTGAGAGGCACCAGGGATCCCAAGATGAGGGGAGGGAGCAGGGCTGACCGTCCAGGTGCCACCTTGCAGCTGGCCCTCTGCACACCAGCCTGGAGGCGCTTCCTAACACTTCTGTGTGCACTTTCTCAACAGGACAACGTGGATCTTGGCGAGCTGATGTTTTCCCTCTGCTACCTTCCCACGGCTGGCAGGCTGACCATCACTGTTATAAAAGCAAGGAATTTAAAGGCGATGGACATAACAGGAGCATCAGGTGGGACATTGTCTGACTCGAGCTTTCTCATGCGGTTCTCGTGTAGGAACTTATGAAGTTTCTGGTAAAGTAATAAACACATGGACTCTGGGACCAAACTACCTAGGTGTAAGCCTTGTTTTAGACTGAATAGCTGTGTGACCTTGGGCAAGTCCCTTAACCTCTGTGGGCTTCAGATTCCCCATCTGTAAAAGAATGGTAATAATAGTAACTGAGTCATTGGGTTATTATAAGATTACACGAGTTCCTTCATATAAAGTCACAAGAACATGCCTGGCACATACTAAATGCTACCTATCCTCATATTATTATTCTCTCTTAAGTCTTCTTCACCATAATTGTGAATGAGGCCCACAATTTACATATGATGATATAGCTTATCTAATTGAGTCTTTCCTCAGTATAAGCAATTACCATCTCAAGCTTACTGAAGATTGAAGAATCCTGTCCTATATAATAAAAGGCTAACATGCAAATCGACTGAACGGTGGAATGACTGGTCGCACTGATCACCAGGGGGCAGACTCTCAACACAGGAGCTGCCTCTGGTGGTCAGTGCGCTCCCAAAGGGGGAGCGCTGCTCAGCGATAAGTCCTGAGCTGGGCTCAGGACTGGCAAGTGCAGCGGCAGTGGCCGAAGCCTCTCACACCTCTGTGGCAGTGCTAAGGATGTCCGACTGAGGGCTTAGGCCCGTTCCCTGCAGGCCTAAGCCATCAGTATTGAAGAATCCTATCCTATATAATAAAAGGCTAACGTGCAAATCGACTGAATGGTGGAATGACTGGTCGCTATGATGCGCACTGATCACCAGGGGGCAGACTCTCAACACAGGAGCTGCCTCTGGTGGTCAGTGCGCTCCCAAAGGGGGAGTGCTGCTCAGCGATAAGTCCTGAGCTGGGCTCAGGACTGGCAAGTGCAGCGGCAGTGGCCGAAGCCTCTCACACCTCTGTGGCAGTGCTAAGGATGTCCGACTGAGGGCTTAGGCCCGTTCCCTGCAGGCCTAAGCCATCAGTCAGACATCCCCCGAGGGCTCCCAGACTTCGAGAGGGCGCAGGCTGGGCTGAAGGACGCCCCCCCCCCAGCCTGGTGCACAAATTTCGTGCACTGTGCCTCTAGTATGCTTATAAAAGGCTCATTAGTGAACTATGCAGTTTTTGTTTTTCCAGGGAATCAAACATGTACCTTAAATTCTAAACCCTAAAAAACAAGCTGCAGCATGCAGTTCCTAACATACCAAATCACAAGCAACCTTTGCAGGGGCTCCTAACATGGTCATAAAATACCCAGTCCACCAGCTGTTGGCCACTGAAATCAAAGGACATCAGATGCAATACATTCCGCTTCCTATACTCCAGGGTTTTCCCAGCAGAAAAAAGATGGGGCCCCTCCTGGCTCTCACAGTCCCTCCTGGGCAGTGTATGGGAGTCAGGGCAGCACACTGTTATGCAGGTGAAGGGACACAAGCTCCCCACTGAGCAGGAGGGCAGTGAGGTGGAACCAGGCAAGTCCCCCCTGCGGCAGAGACCAGCCTTGTCACCTGTCACCCCCTCCCAGCGTGCACCCCAAGCCAACCTGTGTTCTTCCTCCCTGAGGTGCTGAACTGCTTCGCCCTTTGCAACCCGACTGCAGGCAGCTCTGGGGGCTCAAGGCCCCTGCACTCAGGGAATCAAACCCCGAAACTCCTCTCGTCCCCTAGGAATTCGGCCCCTCCCTTTCCCAAAGACCTGATGTTTAGGAAAACATTGTCCGAGTGGCTGAGTCCAGCCCACAGCCCTTTCTCCACACCTTGAAGGTGCCTTTGCATTTCTCTTCCTGTCACAGCAGGGCAGGTCTGAGTTCTTCCTGGAACGGTTTCTCATCTGGGAACATGTTTTTTTCACACTATTTAAAAATTCTATGTATTTTTGAGGAAACCGGGCCCTGTGCTTTTTTGTGAATGAGTGACTTACTTATGCTCACTCTAGTCACTGCCTAGGCATTGTATTAGTGAAACTCCTCAAGCTCCAGTCCGCAGGCAGGGAAAGCACACACGGTTTGTTAAACCCCACAGTGAGGAGGCTGCTGGCCTACGTCCGCATCTGTCCTCACAGACCCCTGCTTCTCGTGGTCTCCACAGATCCCTACGTGAAAGTCTCCATGATGTGTGACGGCAGGCGGCTGAAGAAGAGGAAAACGTCCACCAAGAGGAACACCCTGAATCCTGTTTACAACGAAGCCATAGTCTTTGACGTCCCCCCCGAGAGCATTGACCAAATCCACTTGTCCATAGCGGTCATGGACTACGACCGGTGAGATACCTGGGACTCTCTCAGGGCAGGTCCGCTGTGTCCAGGGCAAGGGGGGCAGGGGGGCGGGGGTAGCCCAGCTTCTTAGCTGGTCCCCGGGCAGCAGGAGATGAAGCAAGTGAGCAGCACGTGGAAAGGTGATTGACAAGGAGTCCGAACCACGCTGTCGAGTCAGGTTATGAAAGTGCCTCTTAGCAACCCCATTCTTTCCTTCCCCTTTTTGAAAACCTTTCTCCTTCTCCATCCTCCTCTACCCCCACCTCTTCCCCACTGCATCCCCGAGAACCTCAGCTTGGAGAACTGTGGCCCCAGAGGTCCATCATCTCTCGGGGTCCTGCCTGGCCTGCAGGGAAAGCTCCCACTCAGAGCAGCAGAGTGATTGCTTTAGCCAGACTCTCAACATTTCCAACTACATAACTTCGTTACTTTTTCCCTTCTCCCGATGTGTTCAATAAAGATCATTTCCATCCACTTAAGTCTGAAAGCAAACACAGAAATGTTCCCTTGAAAATGCTAGCATCAGTATGGATGACAGGGCACATTAAAATGTATAAGATGCTCGACTTTCTAATTAATACAGCACAGAAAAGATATTTATAGCCTACATTGTAGCCAATTGTGTATTTAAAGGACAGATTTGAAAAAACAGTCGCTTTAATATGCAAAGAAAGCACCCATCGGGAATTATATATGTTAAACCAGTCATTAGACTGAAATGAAAAGTCTCTTTTTAATTGGAAACCTCCCACGTGGTCCGGGTACAATTATGAAAAAAAAGTCACTCTGACTTCTAATACAATGTTCCAAATACTGTTTGTAGCTAAAACGTTTCCCACAGACCCCTGAAACGTCAGCAGAGCAGCCCCAGTGCCCTGAACGCTCCCTCCAGCAGATGCCTGGGGGAAGCATAACCTCTTCCAACCCAGGGCACACGGGTGGCTGAGCTGCCATGGGTGTGCCAGCCCACGCTGGACAGGAGACCCCCTCCTGCCTCCTCTGGATGACACACAACCCCAGGAGTGTCAGGCCACAGGAGGGGACATTGCCCACGAGCCCTGGAAAGCTAGGCCAGCATTTTTCAAGCTATTGCCAAGTTTCCCGCATCGACAAATCTGATTATGTGAGCTCTGCTTCAGTTTAATTCTCAGTAAACTCATGAATCTGGCCTGGAAAAATCCATGGCAGAATTCACGGAGCTTCTGCATGCAACTGATTTTAATGAGCATAAACTCAAATACCCTTTCCCACCTCGTCTCCCCCCTTACGCCCTACACAAATAGAGAGAATAGTCATCTTTGCAGAAAGAAAAAAGGAGAGAAAATCTGATGTGTTTGGATACCAAAGAGTTAAAGGATGGGCCATGTCATTCTAGTTGTACAAAGGATTTCTCACCAAAATCTGCGAAGGAAAAAAAATTGGACCTATGCAGGGAATGTTTCAGAAATATTAGCCCTTCAGGTTAAAAGAGCTGAGGATGTTTTTACAGTAGGGAAATCAAATCGGGTCAAAGAAGCAATGCTGGGTTTGGAAGGAAGGAGGAAAGAGCATAAGAAAACGTGTTCTCTAAAGAGAGGGGAAGTAGAGAGACCCAGGAGCCTCCTCAGCTCTGCCCTCGCTGTGAGCTCAAGACTATGGCTGCCAGACACAGAGCTGCCCCCTTATCAATCACTTGGTTGCCTCTTGCAGGAATTTGAGCAGCTGTTATTGCAAGAAACTCCATCCAGGTGGCCCCTTTCATGACAGGGATTTGGAGGCCTGGAGTTCAACCTAAAACCAGACAGGGGTGGCATCCTTAGCGTGCCTCAGGGAGCTCCTCAAACATGGGGTTCTTGAGAACAAGCTAAGCCAGGCCACGTAACACGTTCATGCTACAAAAGCCTAGGTGTGGGAGGGCCAGACTCTGCTCTTCCTCTCTGTGCCACTGAGTACGATAATGGATCCCAAGTCCTGTTCTCTGTTCAACTTGGCATTGAATTTTAAATTAGGGAATGAAAAGAACCACTCCTCCCCTGATTCCCTTATTGGTTTAATTGAGTGGCTATTATTCTCACATACCACATTTTTAAGAAAAATCTATTGTGGGCTGTTTTCACAGTATAGGTCACAATGAGATCATCGGCGTGTGTCAAGTAGGCAACACAGCTGAGAGGCTGGGCAGAGACCACTGGAGTGAAATGTTGTCCTACCCTCGGAAGCCCATCGCACACTGGCATTCCCTGGTGGAGGTAAGACCCGACCCCTGATGCTCCACTTTATGGAAGAATAAATGCTTGACTGTTGAAATGGAGGAGCCACCAAAAATGTGAGTGTACATTTCCTGGGCTGTTAGAATTGCATTCAGTCCAAGGTTGGGTCTGTGATCCCCACCAACCTGGGGTTTTGAGCAAAGGTCAGGGATCATTCCTCACTTTGATTGTTTTTTTAAAAAGGTCAAGATTCTCTGAGTCTGTTTAATGGCTTTGGGTTGACATTTGAAGGACATCTGCAGGATCTGGTGAGGGTGGCGTTTTTAGGCCATCCTACAGTGACTTAGGCCTGGTGCCAGAAAGAACTTGAGACACGGAGAGAGGAGGCCTGGATACTGGGACTGACTCTAGCATGAACTTGTGATTATGGACAAGTTGGTCAGTATCAGATTCAACTACATATGATAAAAAACCAAAAAACAACAAACCACAAAACAACAAGTGAAATGAACATTTATTTATGTCTTACGTAAGTAAGGTCCAGAGGAAGCCAGTCCTGGTTGTTATAGGGTTTCTGAGGTCCACTAGACTTCCATCTTTCTACCTCACTGACCTAGAGTGGCTTTCTTTTTTATTGAGGTCACCTCATTGCCCAATATGGCTGCTAAGCTCTAGCCATCACGTATCTTATAGGCCATAGAAAGGTGACCAAAAGCATACACATTCCTTTTCCAAGGATTTTCCGTGATGTGTCATGCAACACTGGTACTTATAATTAACTTAGTTACAGAACTTAGTCATGGACATGTGTGGGGAATGTATTCTCTTTGTTGGGTTGAAATGTGCCCAACTGAAAACAAGGGTTTTGTTTGCAAGAAAGAAGAGGGCAGTGAGTACCTAGAAGCAATGGGCCACCATCCTGCCTCACAGACCCTCATTCATTCTCTCACTCCCCCATCATTTTCTTCTCATTTATTCTCTTCCCGTTCATCTTTGCCCATTGCCTCACTCTCTTATTTATTTACTAACCCATTCTCTCAGAAATAAATTGCATTCAATTGGTAGCATTTCTGAGAGTCAAATGCCATATTAGGTACAGATAGTAGATGTGAATAAGAAACCATCCGTTCCTTCCCTTGAAGAGCTGATACACCTTAAGAGACAGAGTATGGTGTGTACACTCGTCATTAAAGGCACATTCATGATCATTGGCACCCACACCCAGTGCCACCGAGCACGAAGCAGGGAAGTGTTTGTCCAGCTTAGATGTGATTGTCCAGGAAGCATTTCCTCCTCCAGCTCCTGGTAACTGAAGGGAACTGAGCCCTTTGGAACAGGGACACCAGGGAGCCTGGGTTTGGGGCAGAGAACTTCTCTCTTACTCTCCCAGCGCAGACAGGTCTGTCCCCTGCAGAGCCATCCTGAGAGGCCTCGCTCGCTCGGTGTGGGCTCTGCTGTTGTTGACAGCCAGCCAGGTTGGTCTGGTTGAAGTAAACGTGCAGGCAGCTGCAGAGAGGAAGAGCAGCCCCCACCTGGCCTGGGGACAAAGGGACAGTCTCCCTTTGTTGGGGATGGTGCTGGAGGGAGGGGAGCAGGGCAGGATTTGTGAATTGATTCTAAGCTTCAGGGTACCAGGAGGAGTCTTGGGCCCCCAATTCGCAGGTCCCTGAGGACACCTCTGCCCCTGGGCCATGGAAGCCAAGACTCTTTCTTTCCTGGACTTGAAATTAATTCCCAAGGGAGACCCTTAGGCCCCATGAAGCTGGGGAAGTAGCTGGAGGGCTGTGCTGACCGCCTGCACCTCACTCCTGTAGCTCCTGGTGAGAGTCTCAAAGGCTTCGTCTGGGGGCTCATTAAATCACCTGCGCCTGGTGCTAGCGGTGGCCGGTGGCTGTTAGAGGAGTCACAATAGACGTTTGCACCCTTGTGAGTCACTGCTGACTTCAGTGCTTATTTGTAATCTGGCGTGTCAAAGAGTGTCAGAGGTCTCTGCTTCTTGAGACACAGGACATGGGAAAGGATAAGGACGAGGGGTGTGGTGTGGGGCTGAGACATGAGCCCTGATCCAGTGTACAAGCCAGGGACCTTGCCAGGAGATAACCGAGTGGCACGCGCACACAAGGGGGCGTGCAGACAGCAGACCTCGGAGGCTTCCTGCTCAGCCAAGGAAAAGACGCTGCACGACTCTGGCCACCGGGGAGGTGCTCCCGAAACCCTCAGCACCTGGCTCTTTGCAGATCTGTGTCTGATGGTTATGTAAGTGAGGAATAAATGTTTTAGGCTTAACCCACTGAATCTTGGAAATCGATCGTTCCAGCAGCTAGAATAACTTCGGCTCATACGATGGTCGTTCTCAACTGTTGCAGCAGAACCTAAGGCATGAAACGCCTGGGCCCCTCCAATGAAGGGCAAGCCAAGGGAGGCTGGCCCTGCCCCGTGGCTTCCTGACTCTTTGAAGTTTATGCCCAGAACTCCAGATCCATCCTCAGAGGGGAGGCAGTACTTTTCCCTTTAAAAATAAATGTGCAGAATTGGGGCTCTGGTACCAGAGGAGATGAAGAGCGGTATCAGGGTGGTCACTGCCCTTCGCCTATAGCCGTGAGGATGGAGGAGGCCGCGGGCAGGTGGTGGGAAGCCCTCACTTTGGGGTTGGATGGACCTAGATCCAAGCTCGGGGGCTGCCACTCTCAAGTTGTTTTTCTCTTTCTGAATCTGAGTTTCCTCGTCCGTAAAGTGGCCGTCACAGAGCCTGTCTCACAGGGTGGTGGTGAGGAGTAAAACACCTAATATGTGTGAAGCACCGTGGCTGGCACATAATACATGCTCAGTAAAGTCCTCGCTTGTCATTGTGTCCCACACTCGGAGCGACTGCAGTGTGTCCTCATGTGACTGTCACACGAAGACATATCATCCCTAATGTGTGTCATGGAGGATCACAGGAAGGCTGGGCACCCCTGTCCCCTGCACCCCAGGAGCCATCACCTCAGATTGGGGGAAGGTGTCAATTGCAGCTTTGCCGGGCATAGACACGTGTATAAGTTCTTCTCCTTTCTTCCTCAGCCTTCAAGAAAAGTTGCTATTACACCCTCTTCCTTTAAATGTCTGCTTTAAAACAAAAACAGTAGTGAAGTCACAGGTCTCGCGCACGCACGTTTGTGCGTGTGTGTGCGTGTGCGTGTGTGTGTGTGTGTGTGTGTGTGTGTGTGTGTGTGTGTGTAAGCATGTGTGTTTGAGAGAGAGAAAGCACGAAGACATATCATCCCTAATGTGTGTCATGGAGGATCACAGGAAGGCTGGGCACCCCTGTCCCCTGCACCCCGGGAGCCATCACCTCAGATTGGGGGAAGGTGTCATTTGCAGCTTTGCTGGGCATAGACACGTGTATAAGTTCTCCTTTCTTCTTCTTTCTTCCTCGGCCTTCAAGAAAAGTTGCTATTACACCCTCTTCCTTTAAATGTCTGTTTTAAAACAAAAACAGTAGTGAAGTCGAAGCTCTCGCACGCATGCGTGTGTGTGTGTGTGTGTGTGTGTGTGTGTGTGTAAGCATGTGTGTTTGAGAGAGAGAAAGGAAAAAGAGAATATAGGGTAGTTAGGATTTGGTGCAAAGGGAGGCTGGCCTGGCAGAAGCTCTTCACTGCTGGGGGCCAAGGGACCAGGTTAGGACTGAACCCCGAGCCTGCAGAGATCTGGCAGCCGCCCGGGGCTGCATCCAGCATGCCTGACCTTGCCAGGGCAGGTGGCAGATGGAGCCTTCAAAGCCAGTGAGTTGAGAAATCCGTTTCTCTCCCAGGGACTCTGGACAGCTTCACCGCACACTCAAAGGTCAGCCAGCCCGCTCCCTTTCTGCCCAGATGTCAGAGGCCTGGGACGCGGCATGGCTCCCCCAGAGCAGGCTGCTGGCACCTGGGGACAGGAGTGTCCCCTCTGTGGGGCCTCGGGAGATGACAGAACTCTCAGGGCCCCCACCCAGAACCCCCTCTGCCGTGTACCCAAGATGCCTCCTGGCCACATCCCAGCACCTGGCCCACCTCCTGGGTGTGGAGCTGACCTCCTCACGATCCCCAGAGAGAATCATAGAAATGGTTCCAGGTTTTCATCGCTTCCATGTGTAGTGCTATATGCACCTTCTCCATTAACAAGACACAAACCTGGTTTGATGGGAAAATACCGTTTGGTTAAATCGAATTTTGCTTTTCTAAGAGAGACAAAGACAGAGGCTCTAACCGGAATTCACAGTGAAGATCAGCAGCGTTGTCCCGACTGGCAGAGGTGCGAGATTCTAAGCCAAAGCCCCACTCGGGCGGCCCAGGTGTGGCGAAGGCCCTCTCTCCAAGCCCAGCCTTTTCTATGGGTGTGCAGCTAATCTGGCCTGCCGGGACTGCTCCAGGGAGCCCGGTGCCCCCCGGAACTCAGGGTTCTACAATTCCCAGCATAACAAGGGGCCAGGTGTGGCCCCGTGAACCCTGGCAGGCAGAGTCCCCATCGACCACTCTCTGCCTTGTTCAGGGTGTGAACTTAGAGCTATAGAACTAAAGCCAACGTCAGCTCCGCAGACGCAACAGGAAGTTTCACGACTAGGCCCTTTACACCAGGTTCCCAGCAGAACCCACCTGGAGTCTCCGAGGTCCACGCCTTCCCAGGAGAAAGCATCTGGTTGCCCAGGTTGGATTCTGTGCCCACCTGGTCCAGGTCGCCGCAGGTCATGGGAATGTGATGGGGCGCTCACCCCAGCAGGAATATGGGAAGGAGGCAGCGTTGTCCCGACTGGCAGAGGTGCGAGATTCTAAGCCAAAGCCCCACTCGGGCGGCCCAGGTGTGGCGAAGGCCCTCTCTCCAAGCCCAGCCTTTTCTATGGGTGTGCAGCTAATCTGGCCTGCCGGGACTGCTCCAGGGAGCCCGGTGCCCCCCGGAACTCAGGGTTCTACAATTCCCAGCATAACGAGGGGGCAGGTGTGGTCCCGTGAATGCTGGCAGGCAGAGTCCTCATCGACCACCCTCTGCCTTGTTCAGGGTGTGAACTTAGAGCTATAGACCTAAAG